ACACACAGATGGACATATTAAGCCCGAACCTTAATAGTGCTGATGATAATATAAAGAAGTTTTTAAGCATGAGTGTAACCCTTCCAACAATATTTTTCAACATAGAAAGTATCATTCTATATTACCGTTTATTTACCAGTTTGAAAGCATTGATCTTTCATATTGTGTGGTCAACTGTGATTTTAATAGCAAGTAGATGCTTGATTAGTGATATCAATAGTGACGTTGATGGTATATAGATGAGGCTGTAGATATTTTGACAATAATATAGTGCCAATTTGTGTACATATATACGCTTGCCCTTTAACTATTTCTGTCTCCTTGAATAAAATTCAACGAACTGAATTGTTAACTGCATTGAAATGATGAGTATAATGAACAAGAAAATGATGTAACTGTACCTGTACTGTGAATATTTTTGAAAGTCTTTCAGAAGGTAGCATGTATCAACAGATGAGAAATTGTTGAAAGAAAGAATGAAAGCTACTCACACAGTGTAAATTTGGTTCTCGCAAAGTCTGCAGAGTGTTAATATTAAAACAAAATCTTTAAAAAAGATTGGAAAATATACATGGGTTGAATTGCTTGTTGATTACACTGAGGCTTTCGGTTTATTTAACCACAATCTTCTCATAAAGGAGGAGCTTAGTCGTTGTGGCACTTAAAATTTTATACTGGAGCTAATAAAATTATGCTATCAGCAACAAAGTGTCAATGTAACTAAGTAAAATACGAAGGCTATGAAGGCCCACTCAACCGATTCTTTAGTACGTGCCATGCGAGCGTCAACTTGCGTAGTGTTCCTGCATATGCTCGTGTCACAGCGTATACTACCGACGGTAGGATGTGCAGGGTCACCAGACTTGCCAAGAGCTAATACGTATGCCACATTTAGGTAACAATAATATGGTGGTGATTTGATTTGATTTGTGGGGTTAAACGTCCCAAAACCACGACATGATTACGAGAGATGCCGTAGTGGAGGGCTCCGGAAATTTCGACCAGCTGGCGTTCTTTAACTTGAACCCAAATCTGAGCACACGGGCCTACAACATTTCCGCCTCCATCGGAAATGCAGCCACCGCAGCTGGGATTCGATCCCGCGACCTGCGCTTCAGCAGCCGAGAACCTTAGCAACTAGACTACCGCGGCGGGGCAATCGTATGGTGGTTTTAGGACGTTAAACCCCACATATCATCATCATTTAGGTAACAGATTTGGGCGTCTGTCTTCCGATCACCACCCTTGCATTATGGTGAAGCTGATGCTCAGGAATATTTCTTTCCCACTGCTGGGCGAAATACAAAAACAACCGTACTGGTCTTAGACATCGTTCTTAAATGCAGCTGTACTTACACTAGTAAAGGCGGGTCTAGTTATTGCCGGTTTGCGACAAGAAATGGGTGCCAAGCAACGACAAGCTAAGGATGTCGCCGGCAAAAAGGAAGTGCGGCTTGACCACCTACTATCATGAGCAATATGAGTTCAAATACGCGAACGCGTGGCGAATAGCCTCGAACCCCACATTGCCGGAATGAGAAGAGCTAGAAGGGTGGTGCGCTTGCGCTATAGCTGTTGACATTCTCGCCTCGATAACATTGCTGCAAAACAGTGGCTGGTAGCAGTGGTACGAGCTCACATCGACGCGGACAGCCATAACCAATCGCTCAGCAGGCTACGCAGCTTCTATGATATCGGCTGTGACGTACTGCCGTGATGCACAGGCTGTGTTTTTAATTGATATAAGTGGTGATCGCTGAGCATTTTGATACGCATCATTCGCTTAAGTTGTTTTTGGTGCATTTTTGTTTTCATGTTATCATTGCTAGCGGCCGATGGCACGTGATCAGCTGCTGATTGACAGCAACGATCCTGCTAGACTGCCAGCAATCAGCGGATGAGCGCCCTCCTTTCCATTTCGGTTTCGGTTTGCCATCTCGGTATCCAGTTATCTCGGTTTTGCAGGCTACTTGCCGTTCGCTCGCGTGTAGGAGCTCCTATTGCTCAAGATAGTAGCTGTGGTGGCTAGGCGGACCTACGCGCAACACTGTCACCTAAGGTTTGCATAAACAGGAGCTCGAGGCTTGCCTTTGTCGGCCGGTGAGAGTCTCCTAAAGGCAATACGGCCAGTGTGGAGGCACCCGGTCGCTTCTTGCGCTCGCCTCTAGACCGGCCATGCGACAGCCCAAGTTCACTCGAAGCGTAGCGGTTTCATGTTATAGTCAAACTCTCCGATAAAACTGTTACACAGGACTCACTATCGCAATTTGAATCACACCTTCAGCAGCAAGCACTTTCCTTGTCTAGCTGAAATGTTTCTCGTGCCTTTTTTAAATGCGAAGCATTTCTTAGCAAACTTCGGCGACTGTGAGCGTATCTATCTATCTATCTATCTACTATCTATCTATCTATCTATCTATCTATCTATCTATCTATCTATCTATCTATCTATCTATCTATCTATCTATCTATCTATCTATCTATCTATCTATCTATCTATCTATCTATCTATCTATCTATCTATCTATCTATCTATCTATCTATCTATCTATCTATCTATCTATCTATCTATCTATCTATCTATCTATCTATCTATCTATCTATCTATCTATCTATCTATCTATCTATCTATCTATCTATCTATCTATCTATCTATCTATCTATCTATCTATCTATCTATCGATCTATCTATCTATCTATCTATCTATCTATCTATCTATCTATCTATCTATCTATCTATCTATCTATCTATCTATCTAGCCACTTACTTCTGGGCGCTCTCATGGTAACCCCCCTAACTTGGTGGAAACCAAAATTAGCATGGGAGGGTAAGATGGTTGGACGAATATGACACGCTGGTCGAGGCTTGAATAATGCCACAATCCAATCGCGCACGTCGTCAAACACTTCCCGCCAGACAGTAGCACATACACCAGGGTGGGTATTTGACGCTGGTATGCGGGTATGTGCCAAAGGTGATTGACACTTAGTATTTATCCAGGAACGACGAGAATGCTCATGAACAATTTGAACGCACGAGCGTTAAGAAATACCCGACGTCGGTATCATCAACCTAATGAATGCAAATAATAAATGTCAGGGTCCCAGCTGGAATCAAACCCAAGCATTCTGTGTGGCAATGAATCGTTTTACCACATAGCTATGCCAGGATTCGGAACTACTTTAAATAGACGCTAATCTTCGTGAAACGTCAATAGTGGTTGCAGTGCTGCACCCAATTTTATAAACATTACATATGTACTCCGTTGATACAGCCGTCACGTCGGCTTAGCGTCAATTGTGGTTAATTGCCATGCTCTGAAATTGATTTGTGTAGCAGTGTCCAGGGCCAGCATCCTCGCGAGCATCAGCGCCGCTTCGTATCAGCGTCTGGTGTTGCTCATACGCATGTTCCAGTTGGCACCGTTGCGCAATTGCAAACAACTGGTTGTATAAATATCTACAGCGCTTCAAAATATGCCTGTGCGTACAACATTTGTACATATAATTTGCGTCATTTCATGACCTGTCACTCAATACGAAAATCGCAACACGGTCCCCTGTCCTCTGCATGCTTTGCATAACGTCGATACTCCGGTACATGTGATCTTTCGAATTGTTTTATTTTTTTCACTTATGCTAAAGGATTACCAGTTCAATTTTAAAATTGATAGAATCACGTCCGCTTGCCTCTTGATTTCTTTTTCAAAAGCGTGATAAATAAATAAATAAATAATAAATATATATATATATATATATATATATATATATATATATATATATATATATATATATATATATATATATATATATATATATATATATATATATATATATATATATATATATATATATATATATATGGAAAGTAATTACCTTCTCGGAGAGGATGGCTTATACAGACAGTGGCTGTCTATTCGTAAGTCAGTGCTTGAACTCTTGTTATCTCATGGTTCTTTTTATTATAAAATGTCCTCTGGAATCGTAATGTATATATGTGTGATTCAATATATGAAACGCTAGATCTGGTTCAGTTTTTATGCATCAAACGATAAAACTGCTAAAAATAACTGAAAATGCACCCCTGCTAAGCAAGGCGAAACGCAGGTGATGAAACAGCAATAAAACGCCCACCACCGTTCTGATAATCATCATCATAAACGCACATTTTTCATCGTTCTTTTTGCTCGTCTGCTTCTTTTTCGCACTTTTGTTTCCTCATTAAAAGAGTGAATATTCTAAGCTCGTCAAAATGAATGTCTGGCACTCACTGCATTGTTTTTATTAGCCGATAGCTTAGTTTCGGACATAAAGACCGCTTTTATGTGAGACAAATATAGAGTTACTGATTTCTGTGAAAGAAGGATGAATGAATGTGCACGAACTAAAAAAAGAAGAACAAAAACGCCCGTGGAAGACATGTCTTCTGATCGCCTCTGAAAAGGCTGCGTATTCAGAGGCCAGGGTACACGTTAAACACGTCACCTTCTGGAATGGACAAGCCAAGAAAGCAGCGCAGGGACTACGAGCGGTTGCCGCCACTGTCGTACCCAGCAAAAAAACGTAGCTCTCCTGTGCTTCAGCATGAATTCTACACACTGCCGAGAGACCGACATGGACTCGGAGAGGCTGGAGCGGCGCTGTTTCTGCCGAGCGTGCCCTGTCTTGTGGACGAAGCAGCTGCCGGAATCAGCAAGGCAAGGGAGCAGCGCCAACTACGATCGGTGCGGCTGCTGTCGTACGAAGCCACATGTGTAGCCGTCTTTCCAGCATCGGCTCTCCCGACTCTCAGGAGAACTACATGGACTCGGAGAGGCTGGAGCTGCGCTATTTGTACCGAAGTGTGCCGTGTTTTTTGGACGCAGCAGCTGCCAGAATCAGCAAGGCATTGAAGCAGTGCGAGGACACGACGGACCGCGACCACTCGGTACCCGTCCATCGGCGTCTTCTTGATGTGCTTCAGCATCGACTCTTCCAACTCGAGTGACCACTACAAGGACATGGAGAGGCTGGAGCTGTGCTACTTCTTCCGAAGCTCGCCCTTCATTATCGGCGACGGAGCAGCTTCCGGCATCGGCAGGGCACGGAAACAGTGCCTGGACCATGACCGGTCGTGGCCACCTTCGCAGCCGGCCATCGACGTCATCTCGATGTGCTTGAGAATCGACTCTTCCGACTCCTGTGTCAACATCATGGTGTCAGAAAGGTGGCAGCTGCGCCATTTCTGCGGGAGCGTACCTGTCCTTGTCGGGATTCGAAAATGTTTTTTGGAACAACCCTCGCACGTTCTCGAGCACGCCAATGCGTCGCCGGCATCCAATGCGCCGGTGCCATGCGCAAATGGTGGGCGAAGGCAAGACATGCCATGGCTGCACCTGGAGTGCTCTGCCAAGATCAAGGATAGTTAGGATGAGGGTTTTAAGACTGTAGCAGTGGAGATGTTGCATTCGAACATGCCAACAAAGACTATAACGACAAATCGCAGTATTCCGTCATTCGTTTCCTACAGAGGAGTCAGTTTGAGGAAGAGCAAGTTTCTTTCGTGCAGCAGTATCTTCGTCTATTGTCGTCTGCACTTATCAAAAATATGCTAATATCATATAAGCGTTATTGCATATGCATGTACATAATTACATACGTTCGAAAAAAATTTGGTGTTCGTTCATTTTTGCAGTCTGCTCGAGCGGCCTCGCTTGTATCACTAGAATGCAAAAAAAGGTTTCGCTCGTCATTCTACCGGCTTATAACAGGGTCAGAACGCAAGAAGGAGAAAGAAAAGTTCTGATCTCCCACCAAACAGTGCTTTATTATAAGAACAATGGATATGCAAAAAATTAAACATTTGCGTTTCAGCCCTTGTCTCTCTTAAAATGAAATTCGTCTGAATAAAGGCAGTCAGGAAGCTGCAATGGTTGTACGAGCAATGCCTTCCATATGGGAAGCTCTTTTGGTTGAAAGAGTGCACATGCGAGTGGTTCATCGTAGCAGTCAAATTACATGAGTACTATGCATAGGCGTAGATCGTTACAGCTATTGGTAAACACCTGTCTGGGAGAAACTGGGAAACGTACCAGAAAAAAATTTTCTTTTTCACGACAGTATTCAATACCATGCAACCAGAGTTGATAGAAATACGGTGGTGCGCAGAATACAAAGACTACGTGTCCGTGAATGATTAGGGCCGTATGCAGCCACATCATCTTACTTTTTCATTTTACTGTGCTGTCCTCTGCCGTATTGGTAGTGTTTTTTTACATAACTTTTGGTGAAGGATCCATCAAAGATTGCTGAATGATTGTTCTCATCGTGGGTCTTTCATTCCTGTAAATATCTGGTTTTATCCTCCAATCTTCATAGAATTAGAGATAAATATCGGTGGTACGGTAAAAACCCGATTCTTTACCGTAGGCTGTGTTGCTTAATGCGTTGATTGAGCAGTCATCTCTGAAAGGGCAACTGCAACATTTATCCAAGTAATCAACGAATGACTTCTTGTAGTTTCTTTCTTCATGAATCGACTGCCGAAAATATTTTAAAATGCTCAAGTACGAGCTTTAGAAAGTTAGAGAGCTAGAAAATGAAAGAAAGGAATAAATAGAAAGGTACAGAGGTAAAAAAGGCACAAGAACAAACAGAAGAGAGAATAAGAAATATATCTATAAAAGAATAAAATATCTTCCAATTCGTCCTTTCATTTAGCTAACATCTAAGGTTTTCAAAGAGTTCCTATCAGGTTAACACGGCAGTTCGGAATACAAACTCAAAAGGATATACTTGTAGTTAAATTGAATAATTTACGCATTATTGCCATTTCATTTCTTTATTTCTGGTTTTGGATTTGATAGCTTACCTAAACTAACATTTAACCGTATCAACGTTGCATTCTTGGGCAATCGGCCAAAGTGGGTCCGTGCCATTTATCCAGGGAAACAAACAAACAATAGCGAAACCGTCGAAATACGAAACATCAGGGTTGCGTTGGTGGCTACATTGCGCCACAATAAGCTTTTTCAGGACCCTGTCTGGTGACGAAAATAAACTATTCCACGTAGTATTTGCAATGTCACGATCGTGAAAAAGTATTTAGGTTCATAACAGAGTGCACCACCTAGCGCGTCTCTCATTCCCAGATGAGCGGCAGCTGCATGAAACTGAGCGGCAACTGCATGCGTGCCCAAGAGACATTAATACTAAGAAAACGCAAATATCGCAAATTTCTTATGAATCAAATGGCTTCTCGTAATCTATGATGACTATGTATAGTGGTTAGCTGTATTCTGCTTATTTCTTATTACTGATTGATAGTATGATTGTTGTCGATTGTTGAGTAGCCTGTTTGAAATCCTGCTTGTTCCTTTGGTTGATGGAATTATAATATTTTCTTAAATCTGTTAGCATTTACCTTTGTAAATAGCTTGTGCACGACGGAGAGCAAGTTGATCGGCCTGAATTCTTCAAGTCCATGACATCTCATTCAACAATGCTAACATCAAGAGGATGTTAGCAATGTTGCAAGATTCTGATATCCTCCCCGGCCATCAGGAGACACTTCAGGATACCCCTCCCCGGCCATCAGGAGACAACATGGTGGCTAGTTTTTATTACAAAATCTGTCCTCTGTCTTTCAGCAGATCTAATGTTACCCGATTCTCACCAGCAGCTTTGCCTCTTTGCATTCCTTTCAAGGCTTTTGTGACTTCTGTCAATACTGCGGGGAAGTCACATAGGGTCTGCTAGTTCTTACATTCTGGTCATGCTTGTCCCGGCTGCAGCGCACATGTTGTGTAGCTCCGTTGCTATTTTAATTATCCTATCCATATTGGTAGTTATTTTGCTTTCCTTGTTCCTTAGTGCGTGTATCTGATTGTTGCCTATCCCAAGTTTCGTCTTCACTGATTTGACGCTTCCTCCGTTCTTCAGAGCGTGTTCAATTCTCCCCATGTTATACCTTCTTACAGCGGATAGCTTATGCGCCTATTAATCAAGTGCGAAAGCTCTGGCAACTTCTATTTGTGCATTGTTACTGAGGCTTTAATGCGTTGCTGGGTTCTTAAGGTGGTTCTTTGTTTCCTGGGACAGCTTGCCGTTGTTCTGTCTAACTACTGTCCTGTCTAGCTTCCACTACACACTCCGTAATGATACTCGTCAGATTATCATTCATTGTGTCAACGCTAAGGCTTGTTTCCTCGAGAGAAGCCGAGTAACTGTTGTGAAGCGAGACTCTGAATTCCTGTACTTTACCTCACAGTGCTAGGTCATTGATTAGTCCTTGGGTAACAGTTTCTGTCGTTCCTTCTTGAAATTTAGGTGAATTTTAGGCGACACCGTTTTGTGGTCACTGCTTTGTACCTTGCCAAGCATTTCACATCTTGCACGATGCATGGGTGTGCATTCAGTATAAAATCTATTTCGTTCCTACTTTCGACATTAGGGCTCCTCCATGTCCACTTATGGTTCTCTCGCTTACGGTAGAAGGTATTCAAGATGCGTTAATTATATCGTTGTGTGTGAATTCTACTAATAGCTTCCCTCTGAAATTTGTTGTACTTATGCATACTCTCCTACTGTCTGGCCTCCAACCTGCTTCTTCGCTACCTTGGCATTGAAGTCTCCCATCAATATAGTATACTCCATTAGTACTTTCCGCATTGCCGAATCCAGGTCTTCAATGAGGGAAGTAAAAACAGAGTATACTATACTGATAGAAGACTTCAATTCCACGTCTTCGCCCCGCCGCGGTGGTTTAGTGGCTTAGGTTCTCGGCTGCTGGCCCGCACGTCACGGGATCGAATCCCGGCTGCGGCGGCTGCATTTCCGCTGGAGGCAGAAATGTTGTAGGCCCGTGTGCTGAAATTAGGGTGCACGTTAAAGAACCCCGGGTGGTCGAAATTTCTGGAGCCCTCCACTATGGCGTCTCTGATAATCATATGGTGGTTTCGGGACATATCAATCAATTATTCCACGTCTTCATCAATGCTTTCAACTGGCGCGTCATCATGGCTGGATGTAGGCACGTAAGTCTGTATCATGTTCATCCTCGCATCTTTTATATAGTTTATTTACGATACCTACCACCCTTTGAATAATGCTACAGTATTTCCCAATGTTTACAGCTATGTTTCTGTGGATAACGAATCCCACTCCCAGTACTCTTCTGTCAGTCAAGCAGAGATAGCACAGGACGTGCCCATTCTGTAGCACTGTATAGGCCTCATCTGTCCTCTCAACCTCACTGAGCCCATTACATCTCATTTAACATCCTCTTGCTCCTCGAATAGCACCGCTTTACTTGCCTCACTAGATGAGATTCTAGCGTTAAACGCTGCCAAGTTGAGGTTCCAATGGCGGCCTCTCCGGGCCCAGAGATTTTTAGTACCCTCTGCTACGTTGCAGATCTGAGCATCGCCGCGGTCAGTTGCTTCGAAGACACTGGGGACTGAGAGCCGTGCGTTAATTGACGTATGCATGTGGGAGGTAGTGGCAAGATACTGCACCAGGGTGGCCAATTTTTCGCTGGTTAGGGAGTGCGTTACCGGCGGCCGGGTCGCCGGTGAGGCCGCACTCCAGGCCTCATAATGCAGTTCTATTACCACGGGGAATTTTCTAAAAATCCGGTTGGGAACTGCGTGACACCGGGATTCGAAACCTCGGACTTGTTGCATGCAAGGCTGATGCTGTAACCACTACGCCATCACTGCTTCCACTTCACATATATGCCCAATAGTGTCGCGGGGGAGGGGGGAGGGACAGCCTCAGTGGTAGCTCAGTGGTAGAGCATCGGACGAGTTATTCGAAGGTCACCGGTTCGGTTGCTGCCCACGGCAAGCTAACTTTTCGCCCACTTTTTTTCTTCATATCTACAATAAAATTCGGTCTAATATCTACCCTTGGCATTATTGTTTTGTTAGGAGTCATTATTACTTGTAAAACCCGAAAAAACGAGCCCTTAAATCTACACTTCTTTCCCTAATTCATTAACGATGGTCTCGTACTTGTGGACTTGGTGTCTTTAAGTTGTACATGAGGGACCATTGGTCAGCTGCCAGCTGGTAATAAGTTCACTGCCCCGTCACGTCAAACAGGCTCATAAAGAGTGTGCCACACTCGCCGCCATGGCTACTGGTGGCGCTGACTGACACTTCCACGTTTCAATTCACATATATACCCAATAATGTGGCTGGAGGGATAGCCGCTATGGTAGATCAATGGTAGGGCATCGAATGCGTTATTGGAAGGTCGCAGGTTTGGTTCCTGTCCACGGTAAGTTATTTTTTCACCCACATTTCTTTCTTCACACTTACATTACAATTCGGTCTAATAACTACCCTTATACATTCCTTGGCATTATTGTCTCTTAGAAAGCGTTATTATTGTGTTAAACGCGGAAAAATGAGCCCTTAATTAAACA